GTAAAAAGGTCTAAATAACAAAATTTTGAAAGACATCAAATCAGCACATTTCTACAATGATGAAGTAGCTGGCATTTGCTGTGATATAATTGTTTTGGTTTTCGCAAATAATTTAGAATTGCTCAAAGTCAAATTGGACCTTTGTGCCTCGCCCTACTCTACATATATACTTTATTAAATTTACTTTAATTCATCGAACGTTACTTGAAACTTTTCAAAAACCAGGTCAAAGACGAAATACTTATTTCATTTTATATCTCTCCTCGCAAAATTTGAAAATTTGTGTAAGCTAAGCTCAGTAGTTATTTTACAAATTATACACAAAATCCAGAATCCAAAAAGAATCTGAAAAATTCGAAACATAATCAATAAGTCGAACGACCAAAAAAGACTTGGATTGGATTATACCATGTTTTCTATAGAAAGTGTATAAAACTTCCAGCAGTTTGATTGTATCGACAAAATATAGACAAATTAATGGGGTTTATATACCTCATTGTATATAGCATTGCAATGAAACAACACATTCTTATACACTTTAAAGTATTAATTTTTTTGATTCTGTAGAATCTAGACTCTAGATTCTAGAGTCTAGAAATATTTTAGAATATACCTTACTTAGCAAAACACGTTTGCCGGGTCAGCTAGTATAAGATATATATATATATATATATATATACATAATATATACATAATATATATATATATATTAAGAGCCTATTCTTTTATAACCCCATAATAAATATTATGTTTCAACTTACTCGACTCCATTAGACCAAGTCGCCCTCACTGTGGTGGATAAAGCTTCGCGTTCATCTTCTAACATTGCTTCGATACATTGTTCCATAAGAGCCTCCTCTTCTAGTTGTTGCATTACCTAAACCAAAAATTAATAAGCAATTAATAAACCATCAAATAAGAATCATTAATCTACATATATATATAAAAATAAGTCGGGTTTCTTTCTGACGATATAACTCCAGAACGCGCGAACCGATTTCGACAATTTTGCATTCGTTGGAAAGGTCTCGGGCTCCGCAAGGTTTTATAGCTAAGAAAATAGTGGTGCATGGCATCGTGCCTTAATGCAAATTGCTGGAACTTCAAGCACCGTAATTAAAAATTCGAGTAAGTAATGACATTAGTGAGAATTATCATAATTATGCTTGCAATTAAGTCAACGAGCAATTCTTGCCGCAAAGAATAATGATGTACACGCACTGAATTTCAAAATTCAATCAGAAATTGCCAGCGATTTGGTGACATACCAATGATTCCGGCTGGTTTTCCGTTTGACTTCAAACGATTGCAATTGCCAGTTCGCTTTGCGTTCGCAATACAAGTCTTAAGGCCAATCGCTTAGTGTTTGCGGGATAAATTTCAAATAGATTATTTAGAAAATCATTGTTTTTCCACATGGGCAGTTACACGTTGCCTGCTCGCAAGTTGGAAAACCAACCGCTTTGTTTGTGTTACGTCAGACCAAAAAACAAAAAAATGTGGTTTACCAAAGAGCACTTCAATGGATAATTGGCGGATTCACTTTCATTTACTTAGAGAAGGTCAACTAAAAACACTTCATTTTTGTAATCGAAATAAATTCATTACTGTTGTATAATAAAATCAAAATTTTCCTTTTCAAATATGAAACAAACAAAAAATTCTACATCTTTCTCACGAAACCATCTGGTGGCGAAACGGAGTTCGTCGTCGGGTTTGCTAGTTCCATATAAATTACAACAGACAGACAGACAAAAAGTATTTATTACAGTAATTAATTATACATTTTGCATTGCTATTTTTGGTGCATATTTTTACCCTTGGGTACTTTATACATCATATCTGATCTTAATATATACAGTAAATGTTGATGTATAATTACAGCGAGATGTTTTACAATTGAGTGGCAAAAAAAGAGGTAAGAAAACTTTTCCTCAAAAAAAAGCCACAGAGCAATATTTATAATTATACATAATTATACAAAAAAAAAATAAAATAAAATAAAAACAAAATAAAAGATTTATTCTCATCCAAGTATTAATTGCGATATGGGTCGATCAATATATTTTTGGCATGGCGTGATTGCCATACCAAATATCGTCCTCTTGTGTATTGGCCGAGGCCCGCGATGTTAATATTAGGATGATCCCCACATTTTAGATAAAAATTCTCAGTGAGCTTTTTTTATATAGTCGAGTATTGTCGGTACGTCAGTCTGTTTGTGTATGTATTTTGAAGAGTAGTAATGTGTCTAGTCAGTGGGTCCCTTATTTTGTTAAGTACTATTCGTAGTGTCTTATTTTGTAATGTCTGTAGTTTCTGTAAGTTAGTCTTAGTCGTCGCTATAAATTACAATCTAATCAATCTATCTCTTATCCTATTATTGTCATACATATGAAGTATTTTCTGATACTAGTAAAATTTTTCAAAAAATATTTGTAATCATCGAACAATTTTTCTATCAATAGGTGAGCGTTCGTTATGTGTATTTTGATCTCATTATTGTCAGAAAAATCGATATTCATTAATTAGGTTGTAGCTAGAGATACATTTTTTTTATTAAAATTAATGGACCGATTCTGCTGCATAACAGACCAATGTTATGGCAAGGCCAAGTTATCAAGAACATTCCATACTAACAAAAATAAAAGCCATGCGGTTGCTGTGCAGTCAGACGTATTTCTCAGGGTGTCATATAGAAAATCGAACTTAGAAACCACACAAATTTTAGAAAAACGATGTTAAATAAACAGGTCTTTCTGACTCAGCTTCATAACATACGAGCGACGTTGCAGTTTACGTGCAAAACGCTTTAATGCACAGCAAACCACAACATTTTGCCAGTATTCAGTATGATTCAGTAGCATAATGTATGCAAGTCGGAGCTTAACATTGCCTTGCCATAACATTCGTCCATATATATATATTTAATAAATTTATTTCCCTCACCTGTTTATCGAACTCTTCCTCGTTCTCCATCCACAGGTATTCGGAGAAGTCTTCATCGAGCCTCGGCGAGCCCAACTCGTCTAGTTGCGGCGGCTGCGGCTGGTGCAGGGCAGAGTTATTGATGTGGTTGTTGACGGCCTGGTGGTGCTGGTGGTGGTCGCCGAAGTCGAGGCCGTTGTTGTAATAGCCGTTGTTATTGCCTACGGGGGGTGTTAGAGGTATCTTCATTTTCATAGCCTATTGTCTGGAAGAGAAAAGATAAAGGTCAGTGGAAACACTTTACATTTAAACGTTTGCGGACGTGGATGCTATAGCATTCAGTTTGGATTGTTATGCATAATGACGTGGATGCAATAGCATACAAATTTTATAATTAATAGTTTGATAAAACCTTCCATTTTTGTGATCATTATACCTATTAACAGATTCTTTAGGTATTTTCTTCATAAATTTTCTTGGTCAAGTTGCGTAAAATAGTAGCATAATAGTGTGGATGCTATAGCATTCATCTGGTATATAACGATTAAACTACCCTTGCAAACGGTATTTAATCAAACCGTTTACCCTTGTAAACGGTGTTTAATCAAATTTTTAATTTCTGATAAAAATTTTGTACCTTACTAAAAAATTTTACCGCATACTTGGTTAGGGAAACTTATTGGGTGACAAAGTTGATTCATTTTGGTTGAAAATGTTATACGAGTATAATAATTAAAAAAAACAATTATCATATACGAAAGTACACTTTTATCAATGTCATTCTAAAAGTAAGTGTTTTTTTCCAAAATTCGATAATATTTTTATTTAATTCGTGTTGTTTTTGCATAAATATGCATCCTAAAGCAAGCAAACTATAGGCAGTTTTCATGAAACTCTCAATATTAAAGTTAATTCTAGTTGGAATTTCATTAATTTTCATTTTGGTAGAAAAATGACTAACAAGTAGACTCTACTGACAAGCAAACTGAAAAACAAATGTTGACAAACTAATTAAACATCAGTCATGATGGTGAAAAGAGGACTCTACTGACAATCAAGCAAAAAGAAATTATTAGCAGATGAATTTATCAACCCAGACAGTAAAAAAGGGACTCTACTGACAAGCAAGCTGAAAATATTAACAAATAAAATTAACTTTAACCAATATTGAAAAAGAGAACTCTACTGACGAGCAATTTGGAAGAAAATTGAGATTCTACTAACAAATAGATAAATTGATCAACCTGGAACATAGAAAATGACCCTACTGACCAGCAAACCTAAAAAAAAGTTACCAAATAAATTTATCATCAACAAAGACAGTAAAAAGGAGTCTACTGACAAGCAAACTAGAAGAAAATATTACCAAATGAATTTAACGTCATCCAAGACAGCAAAAAAGGACTCTACTGACAAGGAAACTAGTGAAAAATTAAATTCAAACATGAACCAAAAATAACTAACATAAATAATTTTAGCAAAATGTGATGATTGACGATTTTGTTCTTTTAGTTGTTCTTTTTTCTTCAAAATTCCAACATTCCAAATTCTATTAAAAAATTCCTAGATATCAATTATAAATTGCTGAATTCTATTCAAAATTCTTGGTCTTTATTCCTCGATTCTATCAAAATTCCATTCTAAAATCGAGTCTTAATTCCTAGACTCTATTTTAAATTTTTGTTCAAAATCCTAGATTTTATCATAAATTCCTAAATTTAAAAAAAATCTTAGATTCTATTGAAAATTCTCAGTCCTAATTCCTCGATTCTTAACTACATAAATTCTTGATCCAAACATCTAGAAATCATTCTAAATTTTTGAGCCAAAATCCTAAATTCCATTCTAAAATAATTGTCCCAATTTCCAAAACACATTCTAAAATTGTTGTCCAAATTTCCAGTATCCATTCTAAAATTTTTGTCCAAAATTACAAAAGCCATTCTAATTTTTTGTCCAAATTTCCAAAATCCATTCTAAATTTTTAGTCCAAATTTTCAAAACCCATTCTAAATTTTTAGGCCAAATTTACAGAATCCATTCGAAAATTTTTGTCCAATTTTCCAAAATCCATTCCAAATTCTTGATAAAAATTCTTAGATTTTATTCTAAACTCTTGGTCTAAAGTTCTAGATTCTTGGACCAAATGCCTAGATTATTTCGGTCTAAGTCCTTTGCTCATTATAAAATTTATTAATACGAAAAATTTCACAAAAACTATAAATTATCTAATTTACTTCTTTAGATTCATTTCATTCACATTTGCACATTTGTTTCCCTCTTGTTGATTTGTATATTTTTAAACAATTTTGCAACTTCCAAATTCCTTGAATTGTTTGTTTGAATTGTTTTGTAAACTTTGTTGAGCTTAAAATTTTCCATTCAAACAAGAAATGTAGTGGTGTCAAATGGAAATTATTGTATCTTATTTTATTATGATTTTATTCGAATTGTGACAATGTATACATTTCATAAACAATAATTTGTATAAGGGATCAGGTATCGAAATTGTTATAGCATAATCTAAACATCCGATTAATAATTAAATAATAAAAGAAAAATTTCATGAGTATAGATTTTTTCCAAAATCTTACACTTGCTCCAAATTCCTAAGCTCTATTATTAATTTATAGTCCTATGAAAATATATAAAATATCCTATATAAAATCCTATATTTAATGATCTAGATTTTCAAAACCTATACTAACTTTTGGTCGCAAACTCATGAAATTCATTCTACAATTTTTGTCCAAATTTCTGAAATTTATTTTAAATTCTTGATATAACTTCCTAGATTCTATTTGGTCATTAGAAATTCTTGGTTTAAATTCCTATTGGCCTACATTTCTAGATTCTATTCCAAATTCTTTGGGCCAAATTTTATTCCTACACTCTATTTTTGGTCCCAAATCATATATTCTTAGACCTAATTGTATTCAAAAATTCTTGGTCCTAATCTCAAGATTCTACAATAAATTCATGATCGAAATTTCTAGAACCTATACTAACTTTTGGTCCAAATTTCTAAATTTTATTCTAAAAATTTTGTTCAAATTTCTAAAATATATTTTAAATTCCTAGATTCTATTTGGTCATAATAAATTCTTAGTATAAATTCCTATTAAACCACATTTTGCAGATTCTATTCCAAATTCTCAGTCCAAACTCCTTGGACCCAATTTCAAGATTTTATTCTTCCAGAGTTCGTCCCTGTACCCCAGGGCCCGCACTCACCAAGTCAATAATAAATACATCTATTTCTTCTAAATTAGGTTAATCGAAAAATTCAAAATTAACCATCAATTACCCATCTATTTCCCACAAATAATTAATTACCTTGTGTTCTACTTGCGTCGTGTGAAAAATTCGAAAATGCACCCAATCACGTGCACGCATAATTTCAATTCCAAAACAAATCAACAAACTTCATAAGAAGAACTATGAACTATTATTAAAATAATAATTAAACACTTTATTAAGTATAAAATGATATAAAAAACACGACTATAAATAAGGAATTGACGTTTAAAAAATGTATTCAAAAAAGTGACTTGTCCAAGATGACATTTTATTTCAATTGCAGAGCCAACTAGAGAAATTGGACAAAAAACAAAAAAAATAATAAAAAATTTAATAAAAAAATATTAGTTAATTGGAAATTAACTAAATCAATTAAAAATGTCGTTTTCCTGAATTTTTTTATAATTTTCCAACTTAAACTTCTATAAACTTTCTGTGAGCAATTATTATTTCAAAAATCAACTCTAAAAATGGTAAATTTTCTCCTTAGTACAAACATTTATAATAGTAGTAACATATATAAAACTAGTGGTGTATGGCATCGTGCCTTAAGGCAAATTGCTGGAACTTCCCGTGCCGTAATGAAATATTCGAGAAATTTTAAACGTTTTCAAATATATTATTACAAATACTGTAACTTTCATTGTTTTTGCTATCTTGTTATATCTGAGCAAATCAAATGTAAATCATAAATCAATTTATATCCAGAACATTAACAATCGTCATTTCATTTCGAATTCAATTTCAAAAAAAAAAATAGTGGCTTAATTTACACAAAAATTAAAAAAGTGCCCCATAGTCACAGTCTAAACGCATTTGCAATCAATTCTGCGCGACATTTTCACTTATACTATGCTTAGCTTGTCGGCATTTTAACATTTTTCAATAGTTTTCACAAAATTGGAAAAGTGCTTCAGACATAAACAGTCTAAACGCACTTGGGTAAACATTTGCACCAGAATCGCGCTTAGACTGTGTTTAGCATGGGTGATTTTTTGAATTTTTAATCCAAAATTACAAAAATATTTTTTGAAAAATTTAGCTCTGTATCTCCGAAATGGCTGGGCCTACCTTTGCCAAAAACTAATCATCTCTTCTCCCAATCATTACTAATTGAATGTTTTTTGGATCATACAAATCGGATACTCCATTCTCTCAAAAACTCGATTTCTATTTTGTGCACTCTTTACTCTTTATCTCCATAACTGCTGGGCCTGCCTTTGCCAAAAACTAATCAGCACATCTCCCTATCAATAGGAATCAAATGTTTTTTGAACCATTCAAATCGGTTGATGCGCCCGAAAACGTGACTGGAAATTTGTATCCATACATACATACACACACACATATCTATTTTTTCTGAGGTATGCCAAAATGTTCAGAAACCTTTAAAACGTCGAGAAATGCAAAAATTTTCAATTTAGATTTTTGGACGATTATAATAACTTACCCTACGGAAAGTTAATATATCGTTCTGAAATTTTTCAACATTTTTTCTCGAAACTATTACTAATTTTAAAACAAATTTAAAGAAATGACCAAACTTTCGACCTGATATAAACTATTAAAATAATGATAAATCATAAAGAAAATTAAACAAAGCGGTCAAGCAGTTGTTTTAATAATTAGAAGTTAAGTCAACAATTTTTGTCAAGGTTTTTGCAAGCAAATTCTGAAACAATTTTGCACAACAAAATGTGCTTTTGCTAATGAAATGCTGAATGATGACACAAGTTTAGTGTCGAAACGTACAAAATAAATGTCATCGAACATTTATTTCAGTTTCGAACAAAGAATCCAAAATAGTCATGAAAAACGCAAAAAATTTAAAAAAATATTTAGTTATCGTTTCAGAACTATGTGCGTTCCATATTGGGGACATCTATCAAAAACGTGGTTTTGATTAGAAAATAAATAATTACATATAAATTAATTATATATAAATATAATTTCGTCTATTATTTG